TGCTGTCCCCCCACAGCCACACAGCTTCCCTCTCTTCTCCTTTGTGTCTTTGCCCCAAACTTGGGGCAAAGGCCCCATATGCCACACCCTATCCTGGACTCTGGAGACCGCTTATTCTAGTCTGCATCCTTTCCTTCCTTATAGAATTCATCACCTTCTAACAAACTATGCAACTTACTTATTCACTGTGTTGACTTTCTGAATTCCCATTGCTGCTACTAGAATATAAGTTCCTTAAGGACAGGGATCATGTCTCTTCTCTTTACTGCTCCAGCCCAAGCACATATAATAGCTCATGGCATACAGTAAGCACACATAACATCTTGAAGGCATTAAAGAATAGCCCAGAGGGGCTTCCCTGGTGGCGCAGTGGTTGAGAGTCTGCCTGCCGATGCAGGGGACGCGGGTTCGTGCCCCGGTCCGGGAAGATCCCACATGCTGCGGAGCGGCTGGGCCCGTGAGCTATGGCCGCTGGGCCTGCATGTCTGGAGCCTGTGCTCCGCAACGGGAGAGGCCACAACAGTGAGAGGCCTGCGTGCCGCAAAAAAAAAAAAAAAAAAAAAAAAAAAAAAAAAAAAAAGAATAGCCCAGAGATCTATAAATGCAACTGGAAAAGCAGCTGTATTTTGATTGGGGCACCTCACAGGAGCCACACAAAGCCCAAGGTTGACTCAGACGAGGAAGAGAGGGATGGAGGGGTAGTCTACACACAGCCTTAGAGGCTGGGATGGGGAGCTTGCAGGGCGGCTGAGCAGAGCGCTGGGGTGCAGCAAAGAATAACTATGAATCAGCTCACGTCACTTTCTGGAAAGGCCTTGGGGTCTGATGGGAAGGATCTTATGCTCTCTCTCTCCTCCATCCCAGTCCCGTGAACTCATCTTAGAACCTGAAGAGAATGACTTTCAAGGATTTTAGTATGTTATGGCAATTTTGTGACTCACAGTTCTTTCAGGGTGACGTGGTAGGGCAAGGCAGGCTGTGCACCAGGGCCTGGAGTACAGCCTGGTGATGATCACCCAACAAACATTTATTATGTTGAATAAACTAGCGTTTGTTAAAAATTGAAAGAATCTTTGAACATGATATTCCTTTGAAATTATATTCTGACATGATTTATGAGCCAGATTATTGACCTTATTAACCTGGTCTGGCATCTGTGAGCCATTATTTGAACTTTACTGGCCCTTTTGGCACTTTATGACAATAGGATATTCTAAAAATCAATCTAGCCTGGAAGGAATGAGCCATTCAGAATATTGAAAAGAATGTGTCACAGGGCTGTGCAAAACCGCTGGAAGAGAGGGAGTCTTAGGATAATCTGAACAAAGGAGATGTTACCGGAATGGGATGTAGCCTCCCTACTTTCAAGGGTATAACACTAAATGCTGAGTAAAAATACTGATTTACTAGTTCAGCATTTCTCCGACATGATTTTGAAGTCACAATAAAACACGCCTTTCACACTACAGCATATTGAAGCTGAAAGTGAATCATGGTACCAGATCCGCCACTTTGCTAAAATAAACAGGATTCGGCTATCCACCGGCAGCCTCCCTCCTGCTAATGAAGTGGATTAGAATAACCCCCTGGTTTGAATATTCAGACTTCAATCACCCACCTGTGAGAGTGTAGGCCAGTAACCTTTGGCTCAAACTGAAGTTATCACCTTGAACATGCACATTTATAGATGCCTTCAAATATAGAGCTTTGATATCTTTACAACCAAGTTTTCTGATTAAACTTTAAGGCAGACTTTTAGTGTGAGGCCCTATCTGTCCTTTGAGCTTTCACTGTTTCACTTCCATGGCGACTGGCGGATGATAGAAATAACTCCAGCAACATGGAAGTAGATCGATCACCATATTGTTTGTCCACATGTACAGAGCTCTTAATAGGGTCAAGCTGTAGATATATTTAATTGAAACAGTTAACATATAAAAGGAAACATACGAAACACTCTTTCAAAATGATTAGACTTCAATTCAGTCAAGAATCTGTTCCCATTCTTACTACTGCTGCCTTAAAATGGTACAACTTCTCTAAATGTGTTGAGTTTTAGTTTTTGCATCTTTAAAATGTAAATGTTAGTACAGTCCTATTGTGGGGATTAAATAAGAGGATGTATGTAAAACAGATGACTTCCAGGCCTCAATAAATGGTAACGATTAATTTTATAAAATTTTATAAATAAGAAAGCTTTAACAGTTAGTCCTATGTGTGAATTGAGCTTATAAGATGCTCACAAATCAAGTTGATAATTAACTGATTGTTTTGTTTTGATACTGATAGTTCCATTTTCCATGATGCCCAGCTATGGGAAATCTGATTTTATTTTTCATTTGACTTAATGTTTTCAACTCAAATTATAGGGGTCTTAGATATTTATGAGAAAAAGCCAAGGATGAGTATTAAATGAGTTCAAGATAAAAATAAAAGAAAGGCAGAACTTCATTGTTTTACTAGCTACAGCTCTTAGAAGTTCTAGAAAACTGGTAAAAGCTAAATTCATACCTTTCATAGGTTAATTTGAGTATACAATATTCCTTATTTCTGAATATTTCTGGCCCCTTGGACCTAGAAGTATGGACAGATAGAAGGGTAAAAAAAGGGCTGTAATCCACTTGTTTGCTTCCAAAGGATTCAAAATTACATATATTCCACCATGATCACTGTATCACTGTCAAAGAGAGTCAGTATAGATGGGAAGATGAAAAATAGTTCCTTTCGAGAATGGGATGCTTTTGAGAGAAAAAAAAAAAACAACTATACCTAGAGAAAAAATATCCTATAGTTTCCATTTCATCTTTTAATAAAACAAAATGAGATTAAAAAATCTAATAACGTTTGCTATGCTAATAACATCACTCAGTATTTCAAACATTATATAATGTTCTTACGTAAGCAAACAATAAGGACTATTTTGTATATATGATAAATGCACGTATATCAAATAATTTTTTTCTAATTAATTAAAAAACACTTTTTTTTAGACATTCCCTCTTGTGTCCTAAAACATTTCTGTAAGGGAGGTAGAACAGACCAGTGCTTTGAAAGAGCAGTGATCCAGGAGCTGGGAAATAGCACAACTCCAGGGTTAGTCTGTGTGCGTGGACCTGGACTCAGTGACTTAGAGGTCGTTCCCTTCCCAAGCACCATACACCTCCAGCTCTCCATCTAAAGTGGGCGCACCCTCTGAACCAGGTCATGCACTAGACCACCACGGGGGGATGGGTCCATCTCAGTGGGATGTTTTATTTACCATCCCCTTTTATCCACATAACCTTGGCATCACAAGAAGGTAAAAGTTACAAAGCCACTGATGGATCAGGGTTTTACCTGAAAAAGACAATCATGTTTTTAATAGATAGCTGGGACAATCATTTAACTTTAATAGTTGAAATGCACTGAGACTTTTCAGCTTATGCTTCATTTATGTTCATATCACCTATGAAAAGCATCTCACGGTGACTGTACGATGCCATTTAAAAAAATAATAAATTTACTTATTTATTTATTTTTGGCTGAGTTGGGTCTTTGTTGCTGCACGTGGGCTTTCTCTAGTTGCACCGAGCCGGGGCTACTCTTGGTTGTGGTGTGCGGGCTTCTCATTGCGGTGGTTTCTCTTGTTGCGGAGCATGGGCTCTAGGCACGCGGGCTCAGTAGTTGTGGCTTGCGGGCTCTGGAGAGCAGGCTCAGTAGTTGTGGTGCACGGGCTTAGCTGCTCTACAGCATGTGGGATCTTCCCGGACCAGAGCTTGAACCCGTGTCCCCTGCATTGGCAGGCGGACTCTCAACCACTGCGCCACCCGGGAATGCACGATGCCATTCTAACTCTCCCTGCCTCCTCTCTGTCTGCAGACATTTCTTGGGGGCCATGTGGATGGCTAGGGGCTAGTGATAAAAGATGAAAATGGCCCTGCCCTGAGGTAGCTTTTAGTTTAGTTGGAAAGACATATGGATGCATAATAACCATAAATTGGTGACAGAGATGAGTTTTGTTGTTACAGTAGCCTGTGGTAGGTAGTGGGCCTGGGGAAGGGTTTCTGGCCTAGAGGCACTGCCCAATAAATGCAGAAAGGATGAAATTAAGCTCTTCAGTTTAAGGAGTGCTTTTGGGGTTGTGGGTTCTTTATTCCAGTAATGAATGCACAGAGATTAAAAGGTCTCAGGCCCTTTTATACTGAAAATAAGTATAAAATAGCTTAAAACAAGATAGGCCTCCAACAGATTAATTCTGGAGGGCTGATTGAATATAGCCTGCACCCCAAAATTATCAAAACTGAAGTATTAAGTGGTACACACACACACACACACACACACACACACACACACACATTACAACATTTACATGTTTTTGAAAAAAAAAATTGAGGTTGGTAGCCACTTTTTACCAAGAGCTGATTTTAACTGCAGCTAATAAATGTGTACATTGAAACTATAAGAACAAGCACATATCTTAAAGAAACAACTAAGCGCACATTTCAAAATCAAACTTCACAAAGTGTAACTATTCCTACCCTAATCATAATTATCTTCAGAACAGTTCTGTATATGTGTTGATGCATTTATACTGTGTTCCTTTATATGATTAACCCCAAATAATAATTTCATGCTTTTTTTCTTTTATGGAGAGAAAATGTGTTCCAGGTGCCCTTACAAACTCAGAATGTATGTCATATTTACATCACATATCAACATGGAAATAGGAACCAGGCACACATTTGCATATTTACATAGGTAAGTATATATAAAGCAGAGAGAACATGAGCAATTCACAGACATTCCTGCAGAAAATATGCTTATAACTCCGAGTTACTCTATAATCATATTGTATTATTCATTTCCTTCACTCACAGCACAGAGGGCATCTCTCCAAAGTTGTAGAGCCCTCGTAAAAAAAGGCAGGAGGGGACACCATAGCCATTTGACAACCCTGCTTCCTGCCTGGCTCCTTGGAGCCCAAAGTCCAACACAGCAGAGGGCCCCATCCCCGCACGTACCTGGCTGAAACTCTGGCCTGCACCTCGGGCTTGTGCGCTGCGGGCAGGGAGCTGCGACGGGGCTGTCTCACCCAGGGCCAAGGTCTGGTTGCTATGGTAGCTGGCTGGATACTGGAAGGACCCTTCAGGTTTGGAATTGAGCTGGAGTGCACTCTGGGAGAGCAGGCTGGGCCCTGCATTGAAAGTCATTTAGAGCGGTAAGTGACAGCTTCAGTGAAGCAGAAATGACATGTATTATTTATTGAAGAGTAGCCTAGAATTATAACACGCACATGATTCCAGCCATCGATGCTTTGAATTCTGAGAACTAAAATGATCGTATAATTTGACTCCAGGTCTTAAGTGGGATTCTTTTTTTTTTTCTTTTGGTGGTTTAAAAGTTCTCCAAAGAGTAGATTTTTTTTCAAATGATCTCATCCTGACCTACATAAAGACATTTCTAACAAGACAAATTAGTTAATCAAGCAGTTGTTTTTATATCAGGCAATATTGGAAACATCTGAAATAACTGAAAGGTCTACCTTTTGATATGTGTTAATTGCATTAATATAATTATATCTCCTACTTAATTATCAGGATGCTAAAACACTCAAAACCTTCCAATCAGTAACACATTCTATTGTATAAATAGTGATGTAATGCCTCAATGCCTGAAGGGTAGACAGTATGTAAAATAGTAATGGCTCTCATACAATGTAGAATTCACCCTGATCTCACATGATCTCTGATGGCTGGTTATCTTTGCCATCACAGCAACGCACAGTAGGAGAACAAAGAGGAGATACAGTGTTTAAATCGGTGCCGCTAACGTGGCTGATACTACAAGTGATGGAGAAAGGAGTTCCTGGCCTCATTATTTAATCATACTTTGTATGAGAAAATGTGGTTTATTTTCTTACTTTCTTTTTAGATGGGATCTTTGCCACAGTTTGCCCATTTCCTTTGTAAGCAAATTTTCTTTAATCAAATTTCATACTCACTTTGGGAATGAAAAGAAGTATAGAAGAGTGTAAGTATACTACTATTTTCTACTGTGTGTGTTTGAGAGGGGACTGGGATAAGTAGAGTGAGTTGGGTGGGGGAGGGAGGACGTGGCATCACAAGTTTTCTCATGTTATCTTAACCATCGTACAAAGTCACTTCTTTTTTGAAGGAGGGTAATTATATACACATGGATTATGGTATAATCATTATCCCATCCTTAATCTGCCTCTTTGGCTGTTTTTTAGACAATAGTATAATTTCTAATAAGTATAAACAAACGTCAAGTTCCTTATTTCTTTCTTTCTAAGGACAGAACATGTTTTTTTTATTTCAAATGAGACCTCAGATTTGACATGACATGGGCCATTTTTTTTGCAGGAAAATAACATGTCTTCTCTTAATAAGCATAGGTTCACATAATCTTTGCCTTCAAGACCTTACCCTTCCCTCTAATTCCCTGATGGAACGTCTAAAAAATGCAAAAATAGGTTTTCATCATCAGATATTAGATAATAAATCAATTAGCTAAAATAGGTAAGACTTGGTATTTCGGAATCTATACAGTTTCTGGAAAGAAAAGTCAAGCAAGGAAATAAAACCATTTCCATCCAGTCCCAATTTCATCATGAAGGGCATAACAAAAGTACAGTTGTAATCCTTTTTCTTGCAATTTAGAAAACAGAGTCCCAAGAAAATAGTATATACCAGATGGTGAAGTTTGCGATAGCTTGCAAAAAATCATTTAATCCATACTAATGGTATAATAGGGCTAATCACCAGAATATAATGCATCTATGGGGAGTGCATTCAGAGGTTCATTCTGGATGCCAAGAACATAGTTTCTGCACTGCTGCAGGCATGTTGAAGCTGTCAGGCATGGAGACGGAGTCAAGGGGTGGTCTCTGATGCCCAGGCCATGGGCAGGCTGAGATGTGGGAGAGCCTCTGGAAGGGAATAGGGACCAGTGATGGGGCAGAGGCAGATGGGAACTGACTGCAAAATGGAGGAGAATGAGGTAGGTACTGGGACGACAGTGATGAACTGTAGCCAAGGGCTTTCCCCCTTGTCCCTATCCTCCTGGAGCTCACTGCTCAATGGACGGGAGTGAGTCACGGCAGAAGAAGAGGGGGCCTTTAAGGTTAGTGGTCAGCATTCTACCTACCAATGGGCAGCTTCCCACTGAGACTTCTTTGGCTATTTCTTTCAGGACAGTCCACCCTGACACAATGGCTTGCACTGGCCATGTCCCCTCCTCCACGATAATGCATCTCCGGGGCAATGAAATTTGAAACAGATACAATAGTGCAAAGACTTTTTGGGATGTCAATAAAATAGAAAAAAAATCTTGAGTGTCATATAAATAATTTAACAATCTATAAAGCAAAAACATTGCATGTCCTGGTTATTTGCTTTTTTAAAGAGATGATGTGATTTTGCTCTGATGAACTTGCATATGTAGCTAGCAAGTCAAACAAAGTTGTCAGTTCTGAATAGATTCATAAAACAGTCTCTAGAAACCTACAAATGCTCTCCAGGCAGGATCTAAAGGTGGCACTTGAGAGTCCAGCTTTTGTTTTTTTTTTTAACATCTTTATTGGAGTATAATTGCTTTACAATGGTGTGTTAGTTTCTGATTTGTAACAAAGTGAATCAGCTATACATATACATATATCCCCATATCCCCTCCCTCTTGCGTCTCGCTCCAACCCTCCCTATCCCACCCCTCTAGGTGGTCACAAAGCACTGAGCTGATCTCCCTGTGCTATGTGGCTGCTTCCCACTAGCTATCTATTTTATATTTGGTAGTGTATATATGTCCATGCCACTCTCACTTCATCCCAGCTTACCATTCCCCCTCCCCGTGTCTTCAACTCCATTCTCTATGTCTGCGTCTTTATTCCTGTCCTGCCCCTAGGTTTTTCAGAACCATTTTATTTTTAGATTCCACATATATGTGTTAGCATATGGTATTTGTTTTTCTCTTTCTGACTTACTTCACTCTGTATGACAGTCTCTAGGTCCATCCACCTCACTACAAATAGACAGTCCCATTTTAAAGCAATTTCAATCAAAAATATGATTTATGTGCTCCTGAAATATGCATCATGAAATAATCAAATCTGTGCATCTTTTATAGAATCAGTCGTGTATTTGATCAATACTCCATGAAAACAAACTACGATGCTCTGTCTCATTACTTTGTTCACACATGTCAAGCACGGAACCAAGATGTACTTTGACAAAGGTAATTGCGACAGTAAGCAATATATCATAATATTACAACCCTGACATAGCACCTGGCAAGGACAAAGCAGTCAGGACAATACCCAAAACACTACATGCATTTTAGAATGATTTTCCCATTGCTTACTAGGTTTCAAATGAATGGCATTTATTCACTCCAATTTTAGAGAGGACAGATATACGAGAATATGAAAAAGGTTAAAATTACAGGACAATTCTTAATTAGTTTATAATAAAAGTAAAATTTACATGTAACTAACTCTTGATTAGCTTTATTAACATTACTGTGCATTGGGGTAGAAAATAAAATTTTCCAGAGATTTCAAAAACATTTTTAGTTTTGGGCTTTAAATGATGATTTTTTTTTTTTATTCCTCAAGAACTTAGGACTTTTCATCAAGTCTTATTTGGGCTAGAGGTAAAATTAGGCTGTATTCCTGAGGACATGAAGTATATCCACCACTGGGGGATGGGGACAATGTAAGAGGATTTCTTGGAATGCTCCGTGGGGACAGGAGGAGACTGGGATTTAAAATTCCACCTAGGGAAATGGAATGTTGCCTTTAGTGTAATTAATTGCTCCAGAAGAAACTTCAACTATGAGCAACAGTCGATCACCATGTCCTATTAGGTCACCAAAAGCAGAAGCCACCCTCTCGCATGTATGCTTCCAGGCCATTGACCTAAGAGGTCACAGGTGACTTCTTTGACCTTTCTGGACATTCTCCATCTTGGGACAGTCCTCAAAGCTAAGCCCAGGGGTCCTATTCAAAATATCTCAGCCTTGGGGGCTAGGAAGGAGAGGGGAGACTGTTTACTGATGAATTGATAAAAGTCAAAAGAGTATGTGCCCCTGATCTGCTCAAGACACACTAGTTCAGGGACTTCCCTGGTGGTCCAGTGGTTAAAGACTCCACGCTTCAAAGGCAGGGGGCACTGGTTCGATCCCTGGTCGGGGAATTAAGATCCCATACTCTGCATGGTGTGGACAAAAAAAAAAAAGACACACTAGTTCCAAATGGACAGAGGGGAGAAATTCCAAAGGAACTACAGAGTTGAGGGACATGGGACCCGCCATTGATCCTAGGAGAGCATCTTAGTGTTATACCAATATCTTAATACGTCTTCAAATATCAATATATGAATTGACTAAAGACCACCTAGCAACCCGTGAAAAAAAATGCCCTTGTATGTTTGTCATTATTCTGAGAACTATAAACAGGAGTGTGGAGAGGTTAAGCGGTCAGCCAGTGTCGTACACTCCGTAAAATGAAGATGAGACCCTATTCTTGTCTTCCACCTTCAGCTCTGGGAGTTGTGGTTGGTTAACATCAAAGCATATTGAAGTCATATACACACATCAACATTTTAAGGTTGAAAAATTCTTTCATCAGTTTATTTGCAGGAGAGGTCTTCATGCCTCAGATTGTGGTTCTGCTTCCCAAAAAAACCTCTCCTTAGAGATTCCAGGTGCTGGCTGGAGGAAGTCTGCTGTCCTCCAGGAGTGGGGCAGAAGTCAACCTCAGCAGATGGAAAGGCTGAAGTGTTCATTTCTTGAATAAAAATTCAGACTCACTTATAGGTTGTACTAACATACACTAAAACATGTAGTCAGTTTCTCCTTAAATTAACTAGATAGTTTAGAGTTTTCCTGATTATGTGCACTCATTATCTTTACACGGATTTAAAAAAGACTTCATTTGGAATTGCTTATTCTTGTCTCCTTTAGCTAAATATTGGTCCCAGAAAACTGTAAACCTTAATTAAATTACATACTTTGCAATAACAAAGAAAAGGCCAGAGGTGTACAAAGTGGCATTCCCAAGTCATTATTTGGGTCACAATCACGCCAGTTGGAGCAGGTGTGTGTTGGAAAAAAATCCAGGACTGGAACTCAGCAGACCTGGTGGACTCTAGTCCATTTCCACGTTTTTGAAAAGCATAG